GGTAGGAAAATTACCATGGATCTAAAGTTGTCTAAATGCACACAGCCTCTCAATGACTTTTTAAAATAATTACTTCAGTGAATTAGATTTTCTCAAGTGTAAGAAAAATATTGAAACATGCATTTTCTTTCTCTGCTAGTCAGAGAGCAGCAGGGCAGAGACCTGCTTGACTATTAAACCAGAAACTGTTTGTGACAAACATTTTATCCTGCATCCCATTTACTTACATAAGTACAGATTTCTATTGATTTTTGTTTAGTGGTTTTTGCATAGAATATATTGTTCAAATTATTTAGTTGATTTACAAATACGATGTTTTAATTTTTTATCAAAATATGCTTTTGTTAGTGAAAAATAACATTAATTTTCACTTGATTTAGCTTAACAACTTTTTAAAATGTAGAAGCATATTCCAAATTTCAAATGAATACATTTCTCTAGAGAATTTTCCTCATCATTTTCCAGCTTACTCCCTCTGGGGTTTAAGCCCCATGTGCTGATTACTGGCTCCAGCATATTTTATCAGAGTCTTATAAGCACTTAAGGTATTGAAACCTTGAGAGAGACGTTTAAATAAAGGAATGAAGGCAGCAACCCCATAACGAAGGCCTCCACTTCACACACAGACAAGAGGCAGCCTTACCGAAGAGCAGCCCCCACGATGCCCTGCAGTGACCTCTCTGCTGACCTGCAGAGACCACTGTCTCAAGGGGTGACAGACAATTTAGTCCTTTATCCTTTTGTCATTGAAAATGACTCCATGGCCATAAATTCTAATCAAGCCAAACTGGATGGCAATTTAAAAACAGAAAATTTTCCAACACATGCTTTTGAAAAAAGCTCAGAAGAAGGAAAAGAAAAACAAACAGACAAGTGCTATTTCTTAACACTGACCCAGCTTTCAACCCTCTCTTAATAGTTCACAGATAAGTGATATTGCAAAGGTTCACTCTTGAGAGTATCATCATGATTTTTGTTTAGGCAGGAAAAAAAAAAAAATAACAGCCACAATGCTATAGGGAAAAAATAGACTTTTCCCCCCCATATACAGCATTCATAAAGGGTGTGTTTCTCTTTCTGATCAAGGTTCTGAGCTGTGCATCCAGCTTATGGTTGTGGGATACAACAGGAAAACAAGCCACTGGTCCTAGCACAGCCACCCAGGCTAGCTGGAACTTAAATCTCATGGGGTTTAACAATAAGAACTCTCCCAGAGGAAGCACTGTTCATAATCACCCTCCAAATCTCAACTATTTACAGACCTGCTTAGGACCTGTTTCGGGCGGACTTGCTTCTTTGGTTGAGAATACAGATATTTTTCCAAGAATACATATTACTTTTATCTTTTCTGCAGCCATTTTCCTGACCAAGCAGGGAATACTACCTTTTGAATTTTAGCATCCTGCTTGCTGAATGGGGGACAATGAATGCTTGGTAGACATAACCACAAGTGAGGCACCACACTGACATGTGCAATATAACTGTCACCGGAGAAACACAGCAACTCTTTCCCTTGGAAATTGTCTGCCAAAGGCCAGTCTGGGGTACAGTTTCCAGTGTGTACATCACTAGCTCCATATTTGGTGACTGGCCCTGCGTGGCATCACTCTTTTGATCGTGCAGCTGGAGCACTGTGTGACACAGCACCAGTCTCTCTAATAACTCTCCCACGTGCAAGCCTGTACTCTGTCCATCCATACTGTTTCCTGTGGCTCGGAATTTAGCAGGATACGCTCATAAGCTGAAAATGGAGGCAGTTTGCTGCAGGCTTTATAAGAATAAATAATGCACACTTAATGGTATCACAGAGAATCACTTCACCACATGTTTCTCAATGAAATGTGGATTTATCTCTCTTAAGTGTACTTTAGTTTCCACGGCTGTTCAAGTTAAGCAAAGTGTTACCTCTGATGTAATTACTTCATAAAACACAAGGGCCCTTTTCTGAACTTTCTACTTAGGCTGGCATATGGCTTCTTGTTCCTCCTTCTAGCATTCTGAGTGGCTCAGAGCACCGAAACATTCTGCACAGTATGTTTCCCTTTGGATGCTGCTAAGTACAGAGGTGCAATTTAAGGAGAGGCATAAAAAGCCCAATGGTTCCTGGAATTTCTTTTGTTTATCCATAGAGGGCATCAGCATTAGCCTTTCTCCCACCGTTCTGGACTGAAGATGCCATACTGTGAGGGAAACAGGCCCGTCCTCTGGACTACTAATTTGAACGAGACCCAGATGGGTGAAGCAGCTTTGAAGAAATCCATTCATACTGAAATTTCAAGTGTAGTAGGAAAAGCAGGCTTGTCCTGGCCCTGTTGTTGGCTAATGTCTCTACATGACACTACACATACCTAAACACACAGCATTTGCCCTGATCTTTCCCTTTCATAAAAGAAGCACAGGTGTCAAGCATGATAGAAAGTAGAGGCATGCAGGATGGCTTGAGAGAAAAACAGCAGAATGACCCTGGTTTAGAGAAAAGCTTGACTACCCAGGAGCATCACAATTCTCTGTTATCAGATAAAGAACACAATTAGAACTATGTCTACAAATAAAATGAGGAGACCCAAACATTCACATGCTAATGAAAACCGCATATGCTTTTCATAAATTTTACCAATAGTTCCTGGAAAGACAGGGAGAAATAACTTTAGAAAGTTTTAGACAGCTGTGTAAACTAAAATTTCCAATTCTAAGTCTTAGTACTACTCAAAAATGAGAGTACAATCATCCCCAAAACTAGGACCTCTTTACAAGTGCTCTCATATTGGGGTACATTCTACAAGTTCTATATTACATTGTCTCATTTTTTTCTTAAGTTTTCAAGATTTCTTTTCTTATCTACATAATTGAAAATTAGAAAGATTCATATTGTGTTTATAAAGTAATCTAGAGGAGAAAGACAAGCTATGGAGTATGAAATACATCAAGGCAGAGTGTGGGGATTTTGCTGGGCTCTCTGTCACACACTCAGAAGTTGCAGGTAAGGTGCCCTCCCAAGTACACTGTGAGATTCCAGTTAAACTATGACTCTTTAGACTCTGGCATCCCAGAAAGATTCCACTTAAAACGTTTTCAGGGAATTTTAAATAAAATTTCTTTGGCCCCATTGGATCTTTCATAGCTTTACTCACTGTATGTGCAGAAAGGTAAAAGTGGGAAACAGTATGTAAAGCAATCCTGAATACTTAAAATCTAAATAAATGTGATGTCAAATCAATCATCACTTCATCAGTTCAACTGACAGAAAAGAACTTGTGGCTACAAACAAATATCTACAAAATGTGTGCACTTTTAAAAAATGCATGAAACGTTTGGGACAAATAATATGATATCAGCTGCTTTGCTGGGGTTGAGATCAGCGGCTTTTGAAAGCGAAAACCTTACTCAGTATCAGAGAACAATGCACATGAATTTGCTTTCTTGTCCTTGATAATTTTATCTAGTTCCTCTCACTATCTCTTAAAAGACAATGAGTGCTTGAAAGCATAACTTTTCACGCAACTAAAAACTTAGACTACAACTAAAAACTTCTCAGAGTGAAACACTGAAACCTCCACAGGTACGTGTGATTTCAGAAGCAGTAGCCTTTTGAGCTAAAAGAAACTATAGGACTTCTGAAAACTAGAATCAATTGTGTTCTTACATAAAAATCAGTATTTGATCAAAAGGAAAATCCTAAACAAAGTTTCTCTGTGGTTCTCTTCTGGCATTTGCCTGGACATTTCTAAGTAGACATTTCTCAGTAGAAGGCTGTCCTCTGTGAGAGCAGCTAAGAGCTGCTGACCTACCCACCAAGGAAACTCTGCCTTCTCTACCAAAATAAATGATAGATAGATAGATAGATAGATAGATAGATAGATAGATAGATAAGATTAGATTAGATAGAACCTATTTTGGAACTAAATCAGCATTCTTCACCTTGTATTTTACGTATTGATGTTGTTTGACTCTAAACTTCAGGCTTACGACTGTTTTTAAATCTGAGAGCAAGCAATTCTCTGCCTATTTACACCAGGTTGGTTGTTTACAGATATGTAGACGGACACACTTGAAAATAATTAAGAGCAAGTGTGTCAGAGAGTACTGTTCTGAAAACCTAACGTCACTCAGAAGCACAAAGTACTTCCACAGCAGAGATGTCTCACAGCATCCATCACTCCTGCACGTGCCTCAGCAGCCCATTTCCCTTTCTGATTAGAGATCACAGTTGGTGGAGTTGGCTTTCAGACTGTCATCTATTTGAATGACAGATGTCTCTGCTGAAGTGGCACTCTGTTTGTTCCCATTTTGTTTATGAAACAGATTCCTAAAAGGTCCTGGGCTGTCACCACGGTTAGTATGAGGCTAAAATATGTTAAAAGGGAACAGGGTAGGGAGAAGAGTAGAGGACCGTTCTGTTCCCTCAACCCTTTTAAAAGAAGAAATACTCACTCAGATGATGAGGACAAAATGTGTTTCTAAGAGCCATGCCTGTAGCCACCTTTATTTACCTGGCACAGTGCAATTTGTATTGACATTTTCGGTTCTCCTCTCTCATCTTTTGACTACAAATAATAACTCTTTACTCTCCTTCCCCTTAACAAAAGGCTGCAAAGCAACCCGAAACCGAGTCGATATTTATTCAATAAATGTTAACCAATTCTCGCAATAGAACTGATTTCCTGATTATTATTAGCATTTCGTTCTTTCTTTTCATTCTTTCCTTCTGTTTAGTTCAAATAATTTCTGACCTGGGCATGGCAACACTATTTGACAAGTCAAAATGGACAGTAAGTAAGTTCCTTGTTGGTGAAAAAGTTTGGAAGGCATCCTCCCCTCCAGCTGAAGAGGCTCGGGTGCCTTAGCCCCTCTAGGATGCGAAGCTCCTCTTTAGCACTTACAAAAAAAAAAAAAAAAAAAATAAAAAATGAAAGCAGGAGGAAAGGGGGGTTGGGGTGGTGGCTGGATTGCTCTTCCGGACAACATGGTAGGACTGAAATGAAATACCTAGACAGACTTACCGAAGAGCTTGCTGGGAGTGTCCTCGCTGTCATTTGATTCCACGGGCGCAAGCAGGGGCTCATTCAGCTCGCTGTCTGAAGTAGCAGCCTTGTCCTCACCTCTCAACTCCGCATTCATTTCACTCCGCACTGACAGCAAGGGCTTACTGACTTGTCCAGCTATCATTGGATCCTAGGATGGGGGGAAAGAGCGAAGGGGAGGAAAAAAGTGGCAGCTTTAGAGAGCGTGTCCTCTCTCCCTCTCCCTCTCTCTCTTCCACACACACACACACACACTCTCTCCCTCTCTCCTCTCTCTTATCTCTGCCTGCTCCTGCTGTTATTGCTGGCTGCAGTCAAGTGAAGAGCTATTACAGATTCGATGAGTTCTCCATTACTCCCCACCCTATTAAAGCTCAACTAGCATGTGAGAGATTCGGAGGCTTCGGAGGGAAAAGGAAGGAAAAAAAAAAAAAAAACTTCTTTGCAAGCAGCCTAACCAATACAGCTTTAATTGTGGGATGTGCTTTTGTAAGGATGTTTTTACACCTTGTTCTGTCTTTAATGCAGTAAGGGGAAAAAAAGAAAGTGCTGGTTTGTACTCCTGCAACGCACCTCTTTAGAAGGGGCACCCTATGGAGGGAACAGGGACTATTTTAAGAAGCCTTCTCCCTGGGGGAGAAGCAATTAAACCCTATCCCAAGAGCAGAGAAAAGAGACAGGGGGAAGAAAAAAAGAGTGCTACAAGCTTTCAGTGGAATAAGAGATATTTCTTATGTAAATTATCTGCCCACACTTAGAAGTTTTCTACCCTCCATGGGTCCCAGACTGGGGACGGAGGCTGATCCCAGTCAAATGCACATTTTAAAGCAAACAATTCACAACAAAATATACAGAAACTGCTTTACATTTTTAAGGAAGTGGGAAAATACTTACAAAGTGTTTTCAATAATTCAGTAACCTAGAGCATCATACACCCAGTGCATAGAAAAAGAATCAAGAATCACCTCCAGGAACAAAACAAAACAAAAAAAAAGCAAAACTTTTCTCCCCAATAATTTAGCCCGCCTTTATCCTCAGCTTGTTTAGAAGGGCATGTTAGGATGAGGAATACTCCCCAAATCTAGCCTTTAGTCCACTTGCAAACTAAGATTGCTTGGGCACAGATTATCAAATGCAGGAGCAAAGCAAAGCAAAAACTGCCTTTTTCCTTCATGATCTGGGAGCTATTTATTGTCAAGTTCATGCCTAAATGGTTCCTGAGCAGGAAACAGGTGACGTGCAGGAGCAGGTGGGGCGGCATGCTCCCCTGCCCATCATCACATTGGTTGTGGTATGCCTGTGGGTTTTTTTTTTAATGTATTCATGCCTGAAAAGTGAATTTGATATGACACATGATAATCTATGAAAATGTTAATCAATACAAATAGTTTAAGCTGTCATCAAATGCACTTCTTTAGTCAATACTCATACTACTGAAAACAATGTCACTGTCACCAGGGCTTAATTTGCACAGCACTTAAATATTGGACTCTGTGCATCAATGCACTTCTTCTTCAAATACTGTAGGTAAACACATTTTCTCCCTATTTAAGGCTGAAGCACTCAGCACGCATTTAGCTGAGCTGAATCCTCCCTTTTGAATACCTTGATAGGTCCACTGGAGGGCAAAATTAATACTTAATTGAATCTCACAGTCATCAAAATAATCAATACTTTTTTATTATTTATTCTTTACAGTCTGTTGACTGTTTCAAACCTCTGAGGGAATGGTGGAAAGGATTCATGGCTTTGAAACACTGTCATTTAACAAGGTAATTTTCAGTGGGGCATTAGGGGTTGTGAAACATATAATAAAACAAAAATGGTGGCTTATAATAGGAAGAAAGAAAAGAATTATATTTCTGCCATCTAACAAAACAGGATAAATAAAAAAGCAAGTGCAGAGAGAGCAACGAAGGAGGGGGATGAGGGAGAGAAAGGCTGGCTTCTGAAGGGTTTTATCATATCAAGAGCAGAGCTGAGCTTTCATAATGCTGACATTTCTCATCCTGACAATCCTAAACAAGTGGAAAGGATGCGATCGCAGATATCATCTTTCATCACATTCCCTAGCCTAAGAACCAACATGACAGCTCCTCGGCCCTTTACACTGTTAATTACTAAATAAAATACTACTCTCTGTCAACATCAGATTATTGTAGATAGCAACCACAAACATTTCTCCATTGTTGCCCCCTCTGAAACTCTGATACCTACCTTGAACTCTTTAGAAAATAGATTAGGCTTGTCTCAGTATATTGTAAATATTTGAAATACAATCAATGTAATCAATGTAGTCGACCCATGGTATTGTCAATCTAAATTTACTGGTGATAGATTCGTATCCCAGACACCGGGTTTGGGGGTTAGATTTTAAAGCACTTGGCATTAGGGGGTGGAGAGAGACTGCCAAAACAGAAAGAAGACAGGCAATAGCTAAAAAAAAATCTCCTCAGAATCCCCCCCTGTAAATTTACAGAAGGCTCTGGTGTGTGTGTGTATGTGTGTGTGTGTGTGTGTTTATGTGAGAGAGAGAGAGAGAGAGAGAGAGAGAGAGAGAGAGAGAGAGAGAAAGTGTTTTGTGTAAGATAGAGTATTTATGTGTGTGTATGTGAGTGTATGTGTGTCAGAGTGTGTACGTGTGTGTGTGTTGTTGTTGTTGTTGTTGTTGTTCTGATTTAGTGAATAGTCTGGGAAGAGTAGGGAAGGGAACAACACTGGTTATCACATGGTATTTATAATGTGTTCATTACAGAATACAAGAACCCAAGTTTAATTCTAGAACATTTTTTTTTTAACTTCTGAAAGGCTGAATACTCTGTAGTCTGTAATTTAAAGGAAGAGTTGATTTGTCCCTTTGAAACATCCAATCACTATGGCTACACTGCTTCTTTTAATATCTTTCAAGGGGTGTTGATGGTGAATTTCTGTTAGGAGCACATTCCTGTAAACTACACAGGATTATTCATACGTCAATGAATATCTGGGTAGACTTTAGAAGAAATATTGTTCTGCTTTAGTTGTGAAGGGTCAAAATTGAATCCTGAATCCCACAGAAGACCTGAGATGAAGCTGATAAGTCACTGGCACTTAAATATGTGTGCAAAGCATGTCCTGTCTGATGGTGTATATTCACTAGCCAGTAGCTTTACTTCCCTAAATTACTTTTATGCACCTCATACATGGTTAGATTGCCAGCCAGTGATTTTCAGTGACTGAAACTTAGAAAATCCAGCTTGCCATTAAGTGAATTTCATCTTACAAAACACTTTACAATTTCCATGACATAGCTGATTGTGTGTGTGTGCGCGTGTGTGTATTCACATGACATGGTTAAAGAGCAAACCCCTAGTGAGTCAGAGGGCAGACAGCTTTTAATCACAGCTGCAGCCACTAGGGGGTCCATTTGAAAATGTGCCACAAGCAGTAACCACTGAGTAGAGACTTAGGAGCAATTGGGGAGTGCCTCTTTCAAGTAACACTGGGCTTGGAAGATGGTCTCTCCACAAAGTGCTATGGTAGTCTATGAAACCTTTTCTGCAGCAAGAAGACAGGACTTCCCAGAATATACCTATACAGTGCCTTGCAGAAATGTAAAAGAGCAATAACTTCAACATGTCCAAGGATCTCCATGGCAGCAAACAGGGAAAAAATGGCTAACGTGAAAAATTAAATACAAAGTAATGAAACTTTCATACTAACCACTTTAAGTTGTTACCACTGCAGTAGAAAAAAAAAATGAAGGCCTCTCTGCCATTTACTTACAAACATTGGTAGGAGAAAGTGGTTTTATATTTAAGTGTCAACGGTTCAAGAACAGGACAGAGCCAGTGCTACTACAGGGTATTCACAAGAGTCACTGGAATCTCAAGAGGCCAAGACAGTGAAAAGAGAAGTAAGAAATAAGAATTTTTTTTAAATGGCAATTATTCCATTAGCAAAATTTGAAAGAAATTTTCACAACATGCTAAAGTGAACAGTGGGATCGTGCCCCAACATCAAACAGCATAGTACCAATTTGGGTCCCCTTCAGGTGTGGTTAAAGAATAAGAACCACTCATTTAGTGCCTTTGTCAGACAAGCTCTTCAGATGTACCTACTGTTATACACACTAGGTAACTACTGTTACCCAATTTTTATGGATGAGGAACTCAAGCTCAGAGAGGCTGAGTGATGTGAACCTATGACATATGGCTCAGTTTGAAGCTGTATTTCAATCTCTAATAGGTGTGCCTCTATATACTGTCCAGTAACCATTGACTATAACTTGTGGTTACCCCAGGGCCCAAAGTAGGAACTGAAACATCAGGATGGCCTTAAGCATACATTAAGCCTAGATAACCAATTCCAGGATGGGCTGTGTGTGTTAATTTCTTCCCTACAGGCTGGAAGACAAAATATGTCTCTGGCTGGCTCTGCTTGTGCAAAACACATGGAACACTGTAGTATGGGAGACAAGACATTGGAAAGTGTTCAATATCCAGATGCATTCAGTGTCTGCTCTAGATAATCATAGCAAGCCATGCAGACACTATCAGTCCCAATGTTTTTATCTCGGAAATGAAAAGGCTGGAATGAGAGAGTGTTTCCCTAAAAATGTCACAAGTCACTTATCCCTAAGACATTTCATGAAAAAAGGACAGTCCTCAAAAGTTCAGTTAAGTCCATTTGACATACATCCTTGTTTGGTTTAGTATCTCTTTATTAAGTGTATTCTCATCATACTTCAATTTATGCTATCCTTTAATATAATTTTCACTAGACATGTTCCAATGCACTTCTATCCAAGTTGTATTTGATGAGTGGCTACAGGACACTGTATTACTGTGGAGAATATTCAACATGGGCTTTTGCCAGGTGGCTAAAAATAATGCCAGAGAAGCAAAGATGTAATAATTCAGCTCAAGTCCTTCAATAAGTTGACAGAAAATTTGGAAGCATAATCACTCTCAATTTCTAATCAGAGAAGTAAGGAAAGAGAAATTATTAATTCAGCACAGTACCCGTGCCCAGTGGTAGCCAAGCAATGGAAACAGCCACACCCCTCCTAGCAGAACTTGAGCTAGGTCCAGCATATTTTTGTAAACAAACCAAGTATGAAACTGACAGTCGAAGCTACTTTTGGAGACAATGTGAGTAATTTAGACAGCC